ATATGTATATATATATGTACATATATGTATATATATATATGTATAAATATGTAAATATATATATGTATATATATATATAGATGTATATATATCTATGTATATATATTTATACCTATGTATATATATATGTATATATATGTGTATATATATATATGTATATATGTATATATGTATATTTAATATATATATATATATATTTATATCGAGTATATATATATACATGTATGTATATATGTATATATATATACATACATATATTTGTAAATATATGTATATATAAAAATATATATATGTAAAAATATTTATGTATATATATATATATTTAAATGCACACATACACACACACATACACACATACACACACATACACACATACACACATACACACATACACACATACACACACACATACATACATACATACATACATACATACATACATACATACACACACACACTCACATATATGGTCACCGCCTCAAGATCAAGAAGGTGGGCGAGAAAAAGCTCTGCCCCCAAGAGCGCCAAAATTTCACTGCCTTAGCCAAAATCAGGGACGACGCGAAGAAGACGCAGAGGAGGGGTGCCACCTTTACCAATCCGTTCAGCTCTAGTTCTTCCAGAGCATCAGGAGGTGACGGGTCGGGGCTCCAGCTTTGCTGTTGTAAAAAAGATCCATTACATCAAGGGCAGGAGCGCTGTGTTTGGTAAGGTGATTCATAATTCGGCTTTTTGATTATAATTTTAAACTTACCTTCAGCCTGACTAGTGTTAGACAGAGATCCAGCAGCTCGCTCCCATAGGGTCGAGCAATTCATTGAACTGTCCCAAGAGACTAGGCCCAAGTCTGGATTGAGCTGAGTAAGATATGTCTTGACCTGTTGCTCTTCTTTTGCAAATTGTATTTGAAAAAGCTAGTTGGCAACAGCTCGCAAGACATACAAGGCAATCTAGCCAAGCAACTGCCTATTGTTCATACCTTCTCGGCCTTTTGGCTATGATCAGGTGTAGTATCTGTTCTTAGCCGTGTGACCCTCCAACTGGAGATTTGTGTCTGCGGGGAGGCAGGTACTTTACCAGAATACTGCTGATATGCTCCATTTGGAGTCAACTTCTGCTTTTGCAGGTTCATCTTGGGAGAAATCTTTCGAGATTTCTCCGTTTGATGCTTGCCAGTAAGTAAGAGGATGCCCCCGTGCTAAACATATGTTGCTCATCGTTCATCTTGTGCAGTGATCTGGTTTGCACGTGAGAAATGTTTACCGCAGTGTAGAGTTTTGATGCTTGTGACAGGGTTGGTGAAGCATTTCATCTCACTTGTAGCTCTGGCCCGAAACAGTGCCCCCTTTTGACTGATCCCCCGCAACCAATGAACGAGCTCAGGGGCTTACCAAAGCGTTGGCACGATGCAAAGATCAAGAAGATGGAAGTCGAAAAACAGGCGAAAGAGATCAGATGCGTGGAGAAAGCAGTGAAAGACCTGGTCAAACGGCTGAGCAAATGAAGGGGTGGAAGCGGAAAAAAAAAGAAAAACATGATAGAAGACAAAAAAGACAAATAATGATGCCTGGTTGATGCTACCTAAGCATTTTTGAAAAACCTAAGACTGCAACATATCATAATACAGCTGTATAGTGATGTTTGCAGTTTGAGGTAAAATTTTTCATTTTTGAACGTGTTGTCAGTGATGTTTGCAGGGCCCTGGCCCAACTGCTTTCAGGTGCTGCAAAGTGGCACATGTAGGCTTGTATGCATACACGCATCCACGTGTGTATGTGTGTTCGCGTCTATCTGTATAAGCATGCATGCAGCTATGCACTCGTGCCTGTGTATCTTCGTGTGCACGCATGTACCTGCTTCGGCCCATGAGAAGTCTGTATCCATTTGCTCTGTCACTTTGCACATATATGCACATGCGTTTGTTTGTTTGTGTTTTTTTTGGTGTCTGCACGCATGCATATGCGTATATATATATATATGTATGTATGTATGTATGTATGTATGTATGTATGTATGTATGTATGTATGTGTGTGTCACGCGTGTGTATGAGCACGTTGGATCTCTTTGGCTGTTCCTTATTTCCTTTTTTTCCTTCATGGCTGTTCCTCGGTGAAATGTGCCCCCTCCCACCGCCACTCCCGTGAGCGTGCCCAGTTTGTGCTGGTGTCATTTCCGTGAGCGGAGATTGAAGATCCTGGGTTCGATTCCCAGTCGGGGTAGGAGGAAGGACTATACCGACCCTAAGGTCCATTGAAGGATATTGCGATTATCGTGTTTAGACCTGCTAATATATACGTGTCAAAAACCATGCAAATACTATGGAAAAAAAGCAATATGTATATTTAACATATAATCACAATATTATGCAAGTTAGACTGAATATTCCAAAAACAAAGGCCTAATTTTGGCCTCCACTTCAAAACATTCATTGTCATGGCAACCATCTGTCCTTTGGGAAGGCCCTTTGAAACATATATGAACATATATGTCTCCAGCAAAAGCTGCCTCGACGCTATGGACGGCATCAGCATGAACGATTGTGATTGAAGCATCAATACGTAAGAGAAAATATATACTTCAATATAGATAATGAAGTGCAGAAAAACATATACTTATATTCATGAGTATCACTTTGGTATCATTCACTGATGTCTCACATCCTTGTCGATCTTCTCTACTGCAACTCCGGGGTGCGCGGTGGAGAGCCTAGCAGTTCTGGAGGAGTGACCGGCACCATATTCATAATATCAGGTGTCGGGGGAGGTGGACCCGGAGGAGTGCGAGGACCAGGAGTAAGCGCAGACAGAGGAGTTCTTAGTTCTTGGTGCCAGTAGAGGACAACGGCTGCGATCTTCGCGGTTGGAGTGGTTGGGCACGTTCTCCTCATCGGACCACCTTACTGGACTTGTAGGCGAACGTGTTTTCTATTTAGCCAGGGGTACGTCAGAAAAAGCGCAGAAGTATCATGTATCAACAAATTAGTTGCGTGCAGACAAAAGACTCCCAAGAACCATCTTCGAATTCGTACTCGCACTCCTCCGATGGGGAAAGGTCCATGTCAGACACTTCAGTGATCTCAGAAGCATCGTTTAGCCTGTGACAATATGGTTGTATGTCTGATCGTATGTGTGCCCACAGTGGCGATATCTTACAACACAAAGAGAAAAAGTAACCTAGACAATCAACATGATTCATCGCCAAGGAACTCACTATACCAGTCTTCCATTACACGCTTTGGGTTCGCCGCTGCCATGGGCGCAGGCTTCAAAGGCATAGCTTGGAAACTGATAGAACTACGCAAGGATCGCGTTTGAAGTGCGGTGAGTAATATTATGTATTCAATGTGCGTTTGTGTTTACATACTATACAATAAAAATAAGTTATATGTATTTAAAAAAATATCACAGCAATACGCAAGTTACACTGAATGTTCCAAAAGCAAAAGCCAAATTTTGGCGTCCACTTCAAGACATTCATTGTCATGGCAACCATCTGTCCTTTGGGAAGGCCCTTAGGCTGGAAAACACCAAACAAAACATATTTTGAGATTCTTTGGGGAGGGCCCCGTGGAGAAAACAAAAATAAACATGAGAACAACCAAAAGAACATATTTGGAATCTCTTTGGGGAGGACCCAATGGAGAAAACCAAACAAACTTTGGAAAAAACAAAAACATTGGAAACACAAAAAAACATATTCTGAGACTCTTGGCTTACCCTCCCCCATCCCCAAGACTTCTGGAAAATTGTTTTTTCTTGATCTTTTTGGTTTTACCAATGTTTTTTATTTTTTCAATGTTTTTTGGTGTTTCCTTTTTTTTGGTGTTTCAATTTTGGTTTCCCAATGTTCTTGGTTTTTCCAATATTTTTTCGGTTTTCTCCATGGGGTCCTCCCCAAAGAGATTCCAAATATGTTCTTTTGGTTTTTCCCATGTTTATTTTTGTTTTCTCCACGGGGCCCTCCCCAAAGAATCTCAAAATATATTTTTTGGTGTTTTCCAGCCTACAATGTGGTTCATAAAAAGAAACAGCAGAAGAGCAATGGCAAGACAGTCTGTGTCAGTTCCGGATGGCTAGAAAGTCACCGTGAAGGCCGACACTTAGATCAGACATACTATGTTCATGTATGTTTTGCGGGGATGGGAAAAAGGTAGGTCCATTCAAGGGCGCTGATACGCGTATATACATATGTATATGTATATATATATATATACATACACACACACACACATATATATATATGCTCATACATGCGTGCACACATACGTACGTACATACATGCATACATACAGCCAAGTCTGGGCCATGCAGACCCATGGCACCAGTTCCAACTGCTTCAATTGGCAATGCCAGGCATTCCCCTGAAGAAGTGGAAGAAGGTGCTCAGGAAGGGAAACAGAGCAACGATTTGGATCCCGTCCTTTGACAGCATAGGATTAAGCATGTTGCGCATCGTTATCCTCTGGTAGTCACTGGTAGTCAAACATGGCTGGCTGGAATTTCGACCATTTAGTTCGATGATTTTCGGCGCTATCAACCTCCACGGCTAGTACGGGGATTTCCGGGCTAGCCACGTTTGATGACCAAAGGGTACACTATGTTTCCACTTTTCAATCACTTCACTCAACTCTTCCATTGGCTCAGAGGATGCGTTGGACTTTGGTCTCTTCACCGCCTTTCCAACTCCACGGCAATTGCTACAGCTTTGTCCGCCCGTGTTCTGGGTCACCCTCCTGGCCATGTGGGCAGCTCAGGGGTGTTGCAGATCGCCTTTTTTTTTCTTTGGAAGACTCTACCCTCTGGTAAACTAACAACATAACTATGGAAAATGGAAAATCACCATTTTTAATGGGTAAATAAACTGTTTCTATGGCCATTTTCAATAGCAAACTGTTTCTACGTTTACCAGAGGCATAGCCTGTTTTCTCTCTTGTGGTTTCAACATCTAGAATCTCAACTGGACTCTAAGGTGGCCGGAACTTTTGTCCAAATTCCTCCAGATGGTTTGGTGCACACCAATTTCTGGAGAGGATGCTGGTGGCAAGATACTGGTGGAGCAGCGACTGCTACCACATCCCGATGTGGTCTGCTGGAGTAGAGACCACTTTGCAACAGCCCTCATCGCAGGGATTGGGCTGGGAGTTTGGTGTGCTTTGGTTCCCATCCTTCTGTTCTTGCGGATCTACAACCTGAAGGACCGCCAGAGCCCGGAGAACTTCCGAAGGTATGGCTATTTCATTGAAGGCTATGAGCCGCAATTCTGGTGGTGGGATATCCTGGTGAAGCGTACTGATATTGGACTCATGAACTTGGTTACTTACACTTCTGTAGCAGATGATGAGAAGGCCAAGCTACTCTTATTTCCATTCATCTCTGGGGGGATGTTGGCTGTTGCAGCCTGGTGCAAGCCATTTGCCAACACGCAAGCGGAAATCCTGGACTTCCTGGAAATGAGCCTGTTGAGCTTTCGATTTGTCCTCTTCAGTGCTGTTTGCATGCTGCTGATTTTTAATCCATCGCCGGAAGCAACCTACGCTGTGGCCGGAACTTTGGCCCTCCTGCTTGCGGGCATTTGCGCATATTTCGGATTGCATGTCCTGGTTCAAATTCTTCGAACAACTGCAGATGAGAGCAGTGAGGAAGAAGATTTTGAGACTCCGAAAACAGGAAAGACGGGCTTGTCACAATCTCAGGCTGAAGCCAAGAAGAAGAAACAGAATCCGCTGGTGAGATTCATAGGCCTTCGGTTTGCAAAATGCTCTTGTGACGGTTTGGAACAGCTGCATTTCAGCCATTCTGCTGAGTGAACTGATGGGCAAGCTGCGTGTCCCTGCCAGGCAATGTGAAGAAAAGGGTCGTCGACTTGGCACTTCCTCTCTTCCAGGAATCAGAAGATGAAAAGCTGTTGGTTGAGCAACTTGGCAGAGAACATATCACGTGATGTACAACATTGTACAACCCATATTTGGATTCTGCTGGATTGTCGTTCAAGTATGTTTGCATATAATATCCATTGCAACCATTTTAAAACTGTCTGTTTGTTTATACGTTGGTGTTGTGATTGTGGCAGATTGGCGAAGCCATGTTGCGGCATGTTGCGGCTACTGCCTCAGGTGGTCTGTGCAGAACAACAGCTGCAAGTTGGTCTCTGCAGCGATAGTTCATCACTCCCAGAAACTGCTCGTTCAGAGTAGCTCTGGCCGTGCAGTGCCTTGCCATCACAGCATATCACAGCCATAGATGGAGCAGACAATCTCAGACAATCTCAGACATATACCCATCAATGGATTAAGGGGGTTCCTGTAAATTTTCCCTTAAACCGAACCACTCCATTGAACCCAGTTTTTTTTTTGACAAAGTCTGATGAACGAAATCAGTTCACTGACTGGGGCCGGGAAACAATGGTCGGAAGGGTCAGGGGGTCCTCGGTTTTTGGTGTCCACGGTGTCAGGTAGCAATGGCCAAAGGTGCAAGAGCTCAACTCTTGCGCTTTGGTGCTGCATACCAGAAACGAACAATCACCAAGGCATGGAGATGAGGGAAAGTTGGAGTTGTTATCCGACTCTTCCTCTTGTCCAAATTGAACATTTTTACCAAGCGCTTTTTGAAACTGCTCTCCACTTTGAATAGGGTTGATTTTCTTATTTTCTTTGTCTTCCTTGAGCATTGCAGCATGGTATCGTTGCTGAAGCTATTTTGGCTGAGTTGTTTTGTTGAAGAGTGGGATGGCGATGGCTGCAGCATTGCGATTTCTGCAGCTACTGCTGATTTTCCCTCTGACATGGGCAGAGGAAGAATGCGGAACCAGCGGGTGCAAGGGCAATGGCAAGGGTGTGCTGCTGATGCAAACGAAGCCTGGTAGCTTACTCAAGGCTTCCGCATCGCAGGTGGATCTCTCAACGGTCCTGGCTGAGGTGCAAGAGTTGAAGGGGCAAATGTCCAGCATGATGAACAAGATGGACTCTTGCTGCTGTAAGGAAACAGTGACCTTCAGCCTGGCCGACACCGGCCTCTGCGCCATTTTCGGGGACCCTCACTTCATTACCTTTGATGGAGCAGAGACCACCACAGTGGGGGATATGATTCAATGGCTGGTGAAGACCAGCTCCATTCATATCCAAGGCTTGTCCAAAGCCAGTGAGGGTTTTGTGGCCGGCTTCGCAGCCTCAGGCAGCTTCATGGGGGATCACCGCTTGGTGTTGCTCAGGGAAGAGAAGGAAGGTCCCATTAAGGTCACCTATGATGGGGTTGAGATTTTGCAGGTAGCTGGTAGCTCCTTTGATGTGAATGGGGTCGTAAAGGCATACCGGAGAAATAGCTGGGACTCCGACCTCTTTGATGATCGGATTCTGAGCATGCGCACCCGCATGAACTTTACCCTTGGTGACTTTGAGGACCGCTTCAAGAATCTTCCTACAGAGGGGATGTACCTCTTCAAACTTCCCAACCACATCGACATCACAGTCACTGGCGTTGACTGGCTGGGAGTGATTATCTCAATGCCAGTTCAGGTAGGGCAGAGCGGGTACTGCGGAAACTTCAACGGAGATGCAGATGATGATGCTGAACCTGTGGTGCCATCCTGGGATCGGCCCATAGGTGCAGACATTGGACCCGTCCCAGACGCTGAGGTGATTTTTCCTCAAGAGCCCGTGGCTCTTCTACTGGGGAAAGCCGAGAAGGCGCTGACTGAGGAGGAAGAGGTGGCGCAAAGAATCAAGCGTATCAATGAGTGCCCAAATACTCTCCTTACCAAGGCTGAAGAGGCTTGCAGCGGCTTGACCGCTGCTTACCACAAGTTCTGCGTTTTTGATGTTTGCCTCACCCAAGACTTGGCCGTGGCAAAATCTGTGGGCTCAGCGGCGTTTGTTCAACACAAAGTGAACGCCCGAGGGGTTCCAATCTTCATGGGCCATGGCCGATGCTTGGACCAGCAGGGCAAGGAATTCCGCAGCTTTCACACCAAGCTTCGCACTGACACTGCATGCCAGCACCTCTTGAGAACCTTGAGCCTCACAGATGGTGTCATGGGAGCCCAGTTGAAGCGAGGTGGCACCTGTGAGGTGTTGACAGTGAAAGAGGTGGATCCCACCAATGTACCCATTCCGGGTGGCTGGGGCATTCCCCCAGGACCCAGCAAGGCTGAAGATGTTCAGATTCGACTGGTCCCAAAAGTGGCAGAGTCGGCACATGCTGAGGATGTGAAAGTTGCGATTGCAGCAGGCGGAAAGGGTTTGGTCGCAGCCACTACGGATGAGGCAGCGTATAACTGCTGGCAGTTGAACTAATAGCAACGAGAGAGAGAGCCCAGTGCTCAGGTGCACAGATCTGACAAGTGGGTGCGGCCTGTGGCTTGCTACGAATGGCATGTGCATGGTGTTTTGATGTAAAGATTCCCGGCAGCTTTCTCCGCATGGCCGGTGAAGTGCTTTGTGCAGGGAAATCATGAATTTGCCGGGGGTGGTTTGACTTGGCCAAACTGAGATGCAGTTGTTACTCCAACAGTGGCATTTTTATTTGGGCAAAAACACAAGGCACGCATGATGGTCCGTAAATGAAAAGATAAGTGCCTTACTTTTGAAGTCAACCAAGATCCTCCGGCTGAGATGCAGTCGCCAGCAACGTCTGGTGAAGCTGCTTATAGTCTCATGTGTGCAACAATTCACACATGCAGTCTGGCCGAAAATCATCTCTGATACAGTGTATACAATGCATCAACCCAGTCAGGGATCGTGATTGGCCAAGCCGGCGACGCGAGAAAAGCGGTGCCAAGGTGGAGTTTTCTCCAAGTGCCCGAGTTGTGGTTTGAAGAGCTTGTAGCCGTTATGTAACCCATAGCAACATGGAACCTTTTTTTTCGGTGGATTTCCTGCCAGGCCTTCGAGGAGTTTGCCACGCTTTGGTTGGATCAGTTCGATCAAGAGACCCTTCCAGCCGATACCGTGCAAGTGCTGTGTGCCCTGACCTCCTCTTCCAAGCACGTGCCGGCGCGAGTCCCCAAACGGCACCTGGCAGCCCGATGGCGGAAGAAGGCTGAGGAGCTCCTGCATCACCACAGTTTGCTGTCCAAAAGCGAGATCTCCACATGGCATTTTGCAGCAGATGACCTGCTAGATACCACCCAGCGCATGAGCAAGTTGGCAGCCAAGGATGCTGTTTACCTGGCTCCATGGCATGGCCGAGGTATGGGGGGACATGGAAGTTTGGATATAACCAGTGTAGATGTATCTTTGGCATAGCCATAACCCTTGCTCACAAACACGTTGCGATACTGCTATACATTGCTGGTTTGTTTTGTCCGCTGCATTCTGGGCGTATCTTTGTAAAAAAAAATCGTCCAGCATCGCTGAGGTAAATGGTGCACAGATGGCCTTGCAAGAGCACCGGGACAGACATGCGGAGTCACTCATTGTGAGAGAACCAGTGGAGGAGGACAGGCCAAACAAATTCCAAAACAACAGGAGAGTCATTTGCTGAAACGACATGCTGTCAGCAGTGAGCCGGCCTCAAGTCGTGCCAGGAGCCCGAAGAACCCGCTGTTCCTACAGAAGGCTTGGCAACACAACAAGGAACCAAAGCAACCCGGAGCTGTGCGTCGCCAGGCCTCCCACTGGACTCTCAAGAGGCGGAGGTGATGCCGGTGATGCCGGTGCCTGACATAATTCATGTCCCTTGGCACAGTTTGGATATCTTGAGATTTGTTATGACTTGATATGACTTGTTTGTTGTGAAGGATGCAGGGTATGACATTGTGAAGACCCCTCCTGAGGCAGTGAAGGATGTGGTGATGATCGACCGAGTTCCGTGGCATCGGTGGTTCATGCTTAGCAGTGTCAGCACAGGGCAGAGGTTGTCGTTTTTCACTTTAACAGACTGTTTTTAACCAAGCGTGCTGGGATAAGAGAGGATAAAGAGGCCGAATACTGGCAGCTTTAAGCCAATCTGAGGCGGTGCAGACCTCCCTGACCTTGCCTGTCAAGAAGGCAGCTCCAGTTCCAGCCATTGAAGCGCCAAAGATGGAAGCCTTGCCAGTCGTGAGCGAGAGAAAGAAACCGATCAAAGATATCAAAGAAAGAGCTCCTGAAGCTCCACAAGGCCTGGTGTCGTGATAACCCGTGATGTTTGAGAAGATTTCCTGAACATTTGAGAATTTTTCAGACTTCCAGACAGTGCCTAGTGACCTACCCTCTGGTAATTTAACATAGCTATTGAAAATGGCCATTTATAGTGGATTTACCCATTGAAAATGGTGATTTTCCATAGTTACGCTAATTTACCAGAGGGTAGTGGCCTCAAAGTTTCCAGGTGCTGACGGTGCTGATGTGGATTTGAAAGTCACTTGGCTCACTTGGCTTTGCACAGCCGATCTCACTGCCCAGCCGGTGAGGACCACATGACAGCGCAGCCGTGCTGCAACTGTCAATGCTGAACAATTATTATGAATAGATCATGAATAGTGCACGTGCTTATGATGTGTATGATGTGTATGATGTGTATGATGTACTGAGGATGTTTTTGCAAAGCTCTTGGAGTCCAAAGTGCGGAAGGCTCCGAGTGGTCCCAGCGGTCCCAGCCCCTCGCGATCATCGCGGCCGCGGCCATCAGCGGATGCATTGCTGGGCCAAAGCAGTCAGCCCAGTCAGCCCAGTCAGCCCCAAGCTATGCCTGCGGAGGTGGGTCTGTCTTTCATGAAGCTTTCGATGCGTGCAATGCATTGCAATGCTGCAAGGTGCATCTGGTTTTTAAGCAATAAACGTACATATTAAATGTTGTATAATTATGTATGCACGCACACACAAATATATATATATATACACGTACATCATACATCATCATACAACATAAAAATACAAACGGAAGTTTTGAGCTTTGAAAGTTGTCTTGATGTTTCCCTGAAGGTCTTCTTCATTCCTTCTCAGGAGGTGCAGACGCTTCCTCCTTCACCTGGTGGCCGCAAGGTGGCGAAACATCCGCGGCCCGTCTCTCCCAACGCATTCCTGCGAAATCGGCCGACGAGCCCGTCGCGGTCACCCAGCCCAACCAAGGGACCCAAATCAGAATCAGACAGCGGCCACAGCCGGTCTCAATCTCCGGCTCCTGCCGTCACCTGGCCCGGAATCAGTTTTTTTTTCAGACTTGTAAAGGTAGGTAAGTGGCAGATGTATGCAGATGTGGTATGCAGTGCAGCTTTCGATCCGAGGTGCGCAGCGTCATGCCGGAAACTCCGGAGGCAGGAGTTTGACCTCGTCCATCTTGCCCCAACTTAACCGCCGCTTCAGCATTCGGCAGGCTGTACCTCCAGGTTCAAGTGAAAAGTCAAGCAAGGTGCGCACTTTCCTTTCGAAGTTTTGCTGTCATTTTCGAGACACGAATCGAAGTTCTTCCCAATCAACGAAGCCGAATGGTGCATGAAACAAACCCGTTCAAGGCATCTTGAACACGTGAACATGGGTGCAACTCTAAACGGAGCGGTTTGAGGGTTTAGTGGACCTGAGGCAACCCAATCTGAGAGAGCCAGCATTTGACGGCAAAGACCGGAATGGCGGCGATCTTACACGGAAACATATATTTTTGTTTATTTTTGTTTTTCTCATTCAGTGGTCTCAAGTACTTGCTAACATGATCTGATTTTCCAAGACACACACACGAACACATAGACAATTCGTGTATATCAACTAGTTTGAAAGCACTACGCCTCCAGCACGCTCTGCAAAAGCAGTGAGCTATGGACCAGCTTCAATCAGTCGTGCAAGTTGAGATTCAGCCGAGAAGCCATAGCACCATGCGTCTCATTTGGTTCATTCAATTCCTGGTTGGTGGTTTGGAACATGGCTTTTATTTTTCCATATATTGGGATATATAGGGAATAATAATCCCAACTGACTCATATTTTTCAGAGGGGTTGAAACCACCAACCAGATTCAGTTCATTTGCTTTTCCAAGTGAGCCTTGCTCCGACTTGGTCCCTTTGGAATTTTCAGCCAATATCGTCAGACTAGACGGGCTGAATGCAGCTTCGGCTGGGCTTTGTTTGAATTACATCGCAGGTCGGTCATGTCCAGTATTTTTTGGACATGGCTGTCACCAGGCGTATTTTCGGCATGGCTCTGCGCAGGTTTTCAGAGGTCAAAGTCCAGTGACTTCTGGATGAAAAAACGGGGTACGGTATAGAATGGGCCTCCATTGTATTGAATGGGGTTCCAATTTCAGGCACCCTTTCTCGTCAGTCATGGGTATTACCCACACACACACACATTTTCCGGATAGATTATTAAGGACCTCACTGCGACGTCACTGGAGTGATGGCTAGTAGGGGTAACTATCCTGAATATCTCAAATGTCCTTGTTTCAGGTTGGTGAATTACATTGCGTTGCTAATACTTATATATTATATATATATGTATATGATTCACATCCAGAATATGTGTTTGAGATCTCAAACAGACAGTCTGCGCGACGGGTCATGCTGGAAGCCGGTGGCCCCGGCAGCACGAGGTGATGCCGCAATGGGTCAAAAGCCGCAGTGGATCAACGGTAAAAGGGGTGACCCTTTGATCGCAGGCACTGCTTACACTGTAAACTCACTGTAGAACATATAGAACACCTTATGCTTGTCGACCCAGCCCAGCTGGGTTGCCTGAGTCTTCCTGCAACTTTTGAGACGTTTGAACTTTGCGTCCCGCATTTGATGCGTAGGAATGCACCCTGCTGCATTGTGCAAACCTTGCCCTGCTCAAAAGACACGAGGGAATGAACCACCAAAAATGTGCCGGGCCCAACTTGGCTTGGAATCATGATAGAGGCCACAAGAGCCACGACTGAATTAAATAGATTTTAAATACACAATCAGTTTACCAATAAAGGGTTGCAATTTTCCAATAATTTATCACTATTTTTGGTGGTAACCATCCTAATCCATTGGAGTTTATTGATCCGGGGTTGACATTAGGGCAGAAAGTTATTTGCAAAGATTTCTATTTCTCAGTGACTTGACACGCAAGGACGAAGAGGCATAGATAAGCTGATCAGCTGAATTCCGAACACCGACAAAATACACTGTGACAGACAAGAACAGCAGTTTTTACACAAGTCCCAGATTTTGGTAAAGGTAAATCTGCAGGATCTTCCTATATAGTGAAACTAGGTGAATCTTGTGGTCAAAACCACCCTTACCTTCAAGGTTTTCCATGTTTCCCCTTAGACCACCCTGACCCGTTTTTTCTGGCTGCGGAGCCAGCTGAGCCAGCGGAGCCATGATTTGTCGCTGGGCTTACCATCTCCCTGTGCTCTCTGTCCTTGTTGCTTCTACTTGCTTACCTGGAGAAGAGTTGGTGGATGGAGTGTTCCTTGGCCTTGGACTTGCTACATCTTGGTACATCTTGGTACAACATTTGAGAAGGGCCACTTTTACTTTGGAAACATAAATTGAGGTCAATGAACCTGACTGTGACTGGTACCTGCTGATCTCAGAGTTGACTTGAAACTAGCAACGCAGGTTTCTTTTCAAGAGACTTCGACACGAATTCTATCTAAATTCTGTTCCAGAGTGTGGGATTCAACTAAGGTGCACGGCCTGAAGCTTGCCTTGTTCACGTTTTATTGTTTGTTTTTTGGCCAATTTTTTGGAGGACCCGTGTGTGTGTGTGTTGATGGCTGTATATGGCTGTTAAGGCATAAGATCATGATGAGCCTTATCTGCCAACAGTGAATCTGAGGTGGAGATGGAACCTTTGAGTCAGGTGGCGTATGTTATGTGTGTCCTGCTGGAAAATATGCAGACATCACAGGCCTCACGGAATGCTATGAGTGCAGCATGGGGACGTACCTTTCTGATGATGGCGTGAACTGGAAGCTACACACCTTGCCAGACTTATGCGTGCCATGTCCAAGGGGCCGTGCTTCCAACGCCACAGGAGCAGCTGAGTGCCAAGAGTGCAGCCCGGGAAGGTATTCCGACTTTCAAGGAAACTCTGAATGCTACCAGTGCTACTGGGGTGCTGCTGCGGAGAATGGCGCGGTGGAATGCAGTGCCTGCACCCCAGGCTATGGCCCAAACTCTGACTACACCGCTTGCGAGCAATGCTCAGCAGGGAAGTACAGCAATGATGGCTATGGTTGCTGGGATTGCTGGGGCGGCCATGTCTCAGAAGCGGGATCTACAACGATGGGCTGTGACGCATGTCCAGCGGGAAAATACGTCCCGTATAGTTACTCAAGTTACTCAGGTGGATCAGGTGGATATGGAACTGGATCGGGATCTATGTATGGATCCCCATACACATCTCCCTATGGATCCCCATACAGACGTATTTTATACGGAACCAGTGGATCGGCTGGTACCCAGGTGGAATGTTTTGATTGCCCGGGAGGCAGGTACAGCTACTCAGGGTCCTCCGATTGTTACCCATGCTGGTCTGGAACTGCAGCACCCAATGGCAGTGCAACATGTGTTGAATGCAGCCCTGGCACGTATGCCGGCTACGAAGCCAGTGAATGCTCCAACTGCAGTGCGGGGACCTTTTCCTACCCAGCGTCGGATTCCTGCGTCGGTTGTGGCTGGGGCAGTGTTTCATCTGAAGGTGACGCAAGCTGCACAGCGTGCCCTATGGGTCAGTATGCAAATGATAACCTCACCCAGTGCTTGGAGTGCGATGCCGGAAGGCTCTTGGGGTTATTGTTTTACATGGCGCTGCAATGTCATGCATAATGGTTTTGCCACCCCTGGAAATTCTAGGCTAGAATTTACTCAGTTGTATTCTTCTGTGCAAATTTATGATCTCCCGTTGTGCAGGTACAAAGGTGCTTTCGACTCCTTTTGCTATGATTGCTCTTGGGGATTTTATTCAAACGCTGGCAGTGCCGGATGTGAAGCTTGCCCTGCAGGAACGATTGGCACCCAAAATCGCACCCACTGTGATCCATGCGAGGCTGGGAAGTACAACGGTTGGTCTGCTGGCACCTCTTGCTATTCCTGCTGGTCCGTGGTTTCGGCGGACCGGACGTCATGTGACAGCTGTCCGGCAGGCAAAGCTTTGATCACCGCTAGTCCGAACTACTGTGAGGACTGCTCGCCTGGCCGCTATTCGCTGTGGAGCGGCAGTTATTCTTGTCAAGCATGTCCTTTAGGAAGGTATTCAAACGAGATAGCCTTGAGCGAGCTGTGTTCGGCCTGCCCTGGTTTGGCAACCGAAAACACTTCCTCCACAAGCATTGAAAGCTGCATCCTGCCAAGAGCAAATCAAAGCTTTGAGTGTCCTAAAGGCAAACCTTGTTCGGTAGCAGGGCTTGAGGGTTCAGGACTTCAAAATAATCACAGGCTCATGATCAAGTATGCAAGCTGTGAGTCAGCTGGGGGCCCTACTGGGTCTACTTATCCTTATGGCAATATTAATGGGGGTTCTCTGTACGGCACAGCTGGGAGCACAGGGTCCTTCGGCTATGGATTTCGGCGGCTTGAGACAAGTGGCACTGCAGTGGCTGGCTTTGGATTTGACGGCATTTCATCGACGGGTTCTGCAGACTACAACTGGGAGGGGAGTTTGGTCGCAGATGTTGGCACATATCGGGTTTGTTGGTGTGGAGGTGTGACAACGTGGTGTGACTTTGACTATAATTTCCCGGTGGATGCAGGCTCGATGATAGTCATGGGCCCCTATCCCAGCCAGCAGTTTGCTTGCGTGCTGGGCCGTTTGTGCCGTGATGTGGGCCCTTTGTTGGGTTTGGGGCTGCATCCGGGAGATCAGATCCACATGCGAGAGCGGTGTGTTGCTGAGCTGGCCTTTGTAATCAGTGTACCGTTGAATGTGACTGCGAACTCAAGTGGCAACGACGTAGCGCTCTACTTTAGCCAAGACAGCTCGGTAACATTGCAAGAAGAGGCAGGGGAATATGCGCTCTGTTGGTGCTCCTTTCAAGGGCAGAACTGTAACGACATGCAGATTTCTGAAGCAGCTGCTGCTAGTGGCAACATGCTCTACCTGGAAGGTGATGCTGGCACCCTAGTGATTCAGGGGCCGGCAGGTGGGGAGTCCATTTATTGCTACAAAGGGCAGACTTGCACTGGGACTCTGAGCAACGGAGGAACGACGTTGTTGGCTGGTGATCGGCTGTCCTTCATGCAACAGTGTGGCGGAGACTTCTTGGGTGGTCTTCCTACTCCTGGGTATGCAGATACACTGGATGGCTCAAGCTTCAGTTTTTCCTCTTGGGAGATCTTGGAATCTGAGCCCGGGATGTTTCGAGTGTGCTGGTGCCGTGCAGATGCTTCTATGAACATGGACTGCCAGAAAGGCAGTGACTTCAATGTTGTGGCTGGCTTGTTCCTTGCAGTTGGGCCCTACTCAGGTCAGACTCGTCAATGCACACATGGGCAGCAGTGCGTCATCACAGGAATTCGTGGTGTCAGTTTGTCAGCCACAGACAAGCTAATTCCATTGAGCTCCTGTAAGTTCGCGTTCGCTCTCTCGCAGACATTCCCATCTTGGCCGCCTCCAGTGCTCTCCAGCACTCTTGATGCCTCCACTGGCTCTTATCGATTTGATCTGGGACAGCTAGACTTGGAAGGGGTGCCAGAAGAACTACAGCTTTGCTGGTGTGGTGTTTCACCATCTGGTTGCTCTAGTCCTTGGGAATATCGGGCGGTGGCAGTGACTCTCAGTGTAGCTTGTGCCGCTGGTTGGTATGACCTACGTGGAAACAGGACTGTTTGCAGAAGATGCCTTCCTGGATACTACTGTCCAGGAGGGTGGCCTGCTCCCTTGCTGCCGTGCCCTGCTGGTAAGACCTCTGTAGCCAATTCGAGCGCATCAGAAGCTTGTGAATGCCGAGAGGGTTACCAGTGGGATGCTTCTGCTGGCCTTTGCAGTCAGTGTGCTTCCGGTTTGTTTAAAGCTTTCGTGGGGAATGAAGACTGCAATGGCACTTGCCCTGTCGGAACCACATCGCATATTGGGGCGACACGTATCAGTCAGTGCTACTGTGAGGGGGAGGGGAGTACAGTTATTGATTCAGATCCAGCCGAAGATGGTTTCATATGCACCGACTTGACTCAACTCTCTGCCAACATCAGTGGCATTATGCTTGTGTCAACACGAGCCGTCGTGTCTTCATTTAGTGGTTCCCTTCTGGTCTTGGACGCATCCACTGAAGGCTTGGTGCAGCAAATTCATGCATCATTGACTGCGTACCTCAGCTTCGGTGGCGCCGCGTCCATAGAGTTGCAAGCTGGTTGGAACAAAGGTGTTTGGTATTTTAATTACAGCATCACCACAGCAGAGGAATCTCTTGCAAGAGAAGTTCGCGCCAAGTTGGAGCCGGATGTCTTTGCGGCCTGGGTTTTCATGGAGATGAGAGGAACACCCCTGGACTCCGCGAATGTTACTGCTCCTTCAGATATTGCCAGAGCGTCTCTTGAGTGTCCACAAGGTTTGGGATTTCCAGGAGGTACCTTTGTTGCTACCTTGTCGGACTGCCGATGCCCATATGGAATGCAGCCGCGAGGCAGCGGCGCTGGCTGTGTGAAGTGTGCCGTGGGCACATACAGTTCGGTGGTATCAGATGCAGAGTGCACCCAGTGTGTGGCTGAGGGCGCCCAATTGACCACTCTGTTTGAGGGAGCCATTTCGGAAGCTGCTTGCACCTGCTCAGCTGGCTTTGTGAACCTGGACCCTCAAAACCCCTCCAACTGCGAGGAATGTGGACTTGGATCCTTCTGCCTTGGTGGAGCCCATCGTCAGGAATGTGGGGAATCTCAAACAACGACAGGTGTGGTTGCGACAAGCGAAGATCAGTGCTTGTGTGCAGCTGGATTCTTCAACGAGCTTGGCATTTGCAAAGCTTGCACTGCTGGCCGCTTCAAACCAGAAGTTGCGAATACACAATGTGCACCATGTGCTGCTGGAAACTTTTCAGACGCGGGGCAGAGTCAGTGCGATGTTTGTCAGGCAGGAAGCTATTCAACAGGAGGAAAGGCAACTTGCGAGCTTTGCCCGGCAGGGCGCTACTTGGAGGAGACTGCAGCAACGTCCTCTGATGCGTGCTTGCCGTGTCCAGTTGGCAAATGGAGCAATGTGACAGGACTTTCAGTGGCTACAGGCTGTGTTGAATGTGTGACTGGCTCCACCACGGTGCTTGACGGTGCTGCCAACGAGAGCATGTGTGTCCAGCCACATCCTGCCGAAACTCGTAGCTGCACCTCAGGATGGATCTGTACCGTTGAAGGTGTGACAGGATCAAGGCTGCAGGACGGACACCGCCTCGCAATCACAACCTCTGACTGTGCTTCAGCAAAATCGTTTGTAACAGGTATTGCAAACAATGGGATCTCCAAGCTTGCTACGGATACTGGCAGTCGATATGTGTGGGGAGACAGCTCTGCAGATTTCATTCCGCAGGGTGGGTTTACAAATCTATGCTGGTGTGCAAACATAGGAGACCTGACTTGTGAAGGGCTGAATTCCAACTTTTGGCTCTCTGCTGGAACACTCTTGATTGTTGGCCCCATCGAGAATACCTTTACTTGTGTTCGTGGTCGGGACTGTCTTGACTTGCAACCATTTTCTGGCTATGGTCTCATGACGCAGGACCACGTAAGGATCCAACGCGATTCTTGTGGAGCAGCTTCAGCAGTCGAGATCTCTGTTGCCAATCCAGAAGGAACCGGGTCGTTTCAATCGGCCAGCGCAGCAGATAGCTTCGTGAATTTGATCTTGAGCTTTGGCAGGACCGATGCAGACAATGACTTCCATGTCCAGATTGATGCCAACCAAGCCGGCTATTTACTCTGTTGGTGCGGCAGCAAGGGCTCCTCCGCTGCATGTGTAGATCCCATGGCTTACGTTGTCTATGCGGGGCGATTAAGCATTCTAGGCCCAAGCACAAACCAAGAAAAGGGATGTGCCGTGGGACAACAGTGTGAAATCACCGGTGTGCTGGGTGCGAGCGTGGTTCCAGGAGACAAACTCATGATCCTGTCAGATTGTGGCAGGGGAAATGCCATTCTTGGGTTTCCTGCCCAAGGCATCCTGGATTCCAGCGATGGAACCAACTTTGCTTTCGCTGGTGACGGCGAGAAAATCCTGCTTTCAGTTCCAGGTATTTTCCGCATTTGCTTTTGTAGGCCCTTTACAGGCATTGAAGCATGCGACTCATCCACTGGCTTTACGGCAAGAGTTGGGCTTATGACGGCAAGTGGGCCCTTTGCGCGATCAACCATTTGTGATTTGGGGAGTGCCTGTGCGGTGAGTTTGTCGGGAGTTGGCTTGACGGCTGGAGACCTGCTCTGGGTCGCAGATGGAACTTGTGGCACTGCTGTGGGGGTCGAACAGAAAGGCTTCCCAGACTTGCAGAATCCCATTGTGGTGGAGGAAGGTGCAGATGGCCTGACGGTGAATTTGGGCACCCTCCCATTTGGAGCATTACCTGGGACCTACCAACTTTGTTGGTGCCCGCAAAGTGCGGATTGCTCGTCGACGGCGCTGTTTCGAGCACCTGCTGGGACTTTACAAACCAACTGTCCTCCAGGTAGCTTCGCAGTTGGACCAGTTACAGGCTGGGACCTGGGAGCTTTGCATTGCTTGAAGTGTCGTGCAACTAGACCCCACTGACGCAATCACACTTGTGCAAAGTCTATACAACACATCTGGCAATGAAACACCTACGCACATTGCATTGCATTGCATTGCATCACATTACATTCCACTATATACATTTACATAATACACACACGTAACAGTACATTACATTACATTACATTGCATTGTGTACATTTAAAATTTAAACAATAATTATATTGCATTACCATTACACCACGCTACGTTACATAACGTTGGTATATGTGCGTAAATAGGTGGTATTTTTTGAACACCATGGCGATCCATGGCGCTGCTGTGCGCTAGGCCGGATCTGTGAGAGATGCACTCGGGGCTATTACTGCGGAGGTGGTCAGGCCCAGAGTGCCACGAGAATCACATGCTCAGCAGGGAAAACGACGATGGATGTTG